GATTCACACCCTCGAGTGAATCCCTACATCTCGGGGTTGATGCCCACAATCTGTCAATGGCATAGCAGCACATTCCAACTTCACTGTCTCCCGCCTGCTTCTCATGTACATATATTCTCTTAAGCTCATGTGGGTTGATTGGGTGTTGAGGAATATGTAAAAATCACCATATATGGCAGTTATTTCATTTTCTCCTGAACTGTAATCAGCACATAAGATGCAATAAGTAGCAGAAATGTAAGCACTAAGCCATAATGTTACACCTGCCATGTTTTTTAATTCTAAAATGCACCTGGAATGCGAAGAGCCATCGCTGCCACTTCCAATAAACTCTCCTAAGTAAACTCAAATACATTCTTCCCTGAGATGAGTCCAGGCCACAGCTCTGTGAACACAATGAGCAGTTAATGACTCATGAGCTGCTGAATCAAGGTGCAGTTTGCTAATGTTTCTTTTTTTTTTTTCTCTCATCTCAGCAAAGGTGCATCTTTGTTTTGCACTGGCTGAATAAAATGTACAGGACAGCTGTATTTAAGAGCCACTGGGTTTTCAGCCTTATCTGCTAGCTACAGCCTTTATTAGATATTGGAAATCCTCAACCAATTGCCTCCTTTCCTGAATGTTAAGTTACTGTCAATAGCATTTCCTTTTCATGTCTGTTGTCCTGAGGCACAAGTCAGACAGTGTCATTGATGATGCTGTCCTTCGCCATAAAGAACCCTTCACAAGTCTGGCCACTGCAGAAACTGAATTTGAATCACCAGGAAATGAAGATTCAAAGTACATTTCTGCAGTTCTAAAGCATTCATGGCCATATGTTTTCAAAACTAAGATAATAAGTGGCTGACAGCTCCGGTTAGCCACTACACCATCAGACAAAACCAATGAAGGTTATCAAAATTCAACGATGGACAGCAGCAGTACTGTAAAACGTTACATAACGCCACTTTTTTTAAAAGCTTTAGTCCTTAAGGTTTCAGTCCTGGTTGGTTTGGTGACATTTATGTTTACTAGTCATGGCTGTAAGTGCAGTTCAATACTATTGCTCTTTTGCCTTTAGAAATATGACAAAAAGGGGACACCCCTAGATCACCTGGTAGAGCGTACACCCCATTTACTAAAGGCAAAGCCTAAGCAGCGACCTGGGTTCTGTTCTGATCTGGGGCCTTTTGTTGCATGTAGCCCCCGCTCACCCTCTTTCATGTGAGAATCAAATATCACAATATTTTCTTTTACCAAATACCTCAATATCGATATTTCAAATTTTCACAGTGGGATTTTTGGTAAATAATCATCAGTGATGTGGATATAATTCAGCCCCGTCTCCTAGAAGTTGTAATTTGAGATGATGCTAATTAACGTTCTTGACAACTTGCAAAAATGATACTGAATGTGTAAGCAAAATGGACACAAACCTGGGGTTCTTGTGTCAAGGTCCTGCACTTCGTACAGCAACAACATAATTAATACAGCAGTTTGGTAACAGACAGATATCATTTCTAAGGCACAAGGCTGTATAAAGGTGAGTGGGTAAAGCCAAATAATAGAACAGCTAAAATAGTCTGGTAAGTTGGTAAAATAACTTCACTGGTTGCAGCCTTTAAAACCAGGAAAAGACAACACTTACAATGTAACGATATCCATAATCTAAAATGAGTCTCATATCATGATGTCGATATATCAATATATTGCCCAGGCCAAATGAGCTAATGAAAGACAAAAAAACTCTCAAAAAATAAAGAAAACAAAAGAACCATGTATGTATCTGTTTACATCCCAGCCAAACAAACATCTTAATAATTTAAGCCTTGCATTTGTGAGTACTTCACAATAAAAGCCACCTTGTGTTCTAGAGTTGAATGCTTTTAATGTGAAGAAGCAACAGTAACTTTACTTAACCTTGATACAGCGTTAGGAGAGTGAACAGTAAACACTGAGGCTGATGTTGATGGGATAACATTGAAAACAGCAACTCTGGATTACACGCATGCATCATTTCCTGTAAATCCCTTGTGCGTGTGAAGGCAGGATGTATACACACTGAATGACAATCGCTGACAAGATGCAGGCCATAAATAATGATACAAAACGTGGTTTGATTTCATAAAAATTTCCAGGATTATAACCGTAACGTGCAATGTCCTGTTTGGTTCAATGTGACTATAACTAAATTACTGTATGTGGGCTTTTCCCTGTTCAGACATAACTATATATCTGCTGCATCCAACCCACACATTTAGCACTTACTGAGTTACATTTTTGCCTTCCTTTCTTTTGTTTCCCCTCTGTGTCTAATTTCCACACCTTACCATTCTTCACTACTGAGGGAAAAAAAGAGCTCAGTCCTTCTTTTATAAAACAGCTGAGTGTCACATGGGACTCTTGAGACTGAGGTGGTGCAACAGCTCTTGTAAAATAGCACACACACACACACACACACACACACACTCACAGCACAGGAAGTTGCTGTTTGAATCTTTACGGTTGTGGAGAGCTGTGGAGCTCCAACTGAAATATGACATGCTGTTCTGCCATATGTTCCACAACTCTGTCTGCAAACCCTGACTGGTCCCTTTGATTACACTTTGCACATTGTTAGCCATATAACCAGAGCATTGCAAACATGTGGTTGGCCAAGCTTCGGTAACTTTTCTGCAAAGTGGCATCAGTGTGGCAATGTAAACATATTAGCACAAACAAAACTGAAGAGGCTTTTCTCTTTTTCTATCGACGTGTCCAGCACACAGCGACTTTACACTCACAATGGGAGGCACCACTGAACCTCAGCACACACACGCAAAAACACCCACATCATCACTGCTATATACTGACTAAGGAGCAGCAGTACATGGTAGATAAGAAGATGATTATATGGCTTATGGAAACATGGGGAGATACAAAGGATAATGACATCTGGTCCCAAACTGGGGGTGCCACAGTTACATGCAAGATGTGTTTAGATTTTAGGTTTTAATTCTCCCAAGCTCTCCACAACTATCTGTGTACACTCACAGCACAGAATGACTTGCCTCTAAAATCTTTCTCAATTTAGAGGAATGGGTTTATATCACACTAACTCGCTAACAAAGAGTTTTGGATGCTTCAATTCAAGTCGTCCACAGTATAGAGCTGTGGAAAACTGTAATGTGTGCTGCCATTTCCATTTAGAAAGGTTGGTCTCATTTCCAAAACCGCTGTCCCCCTAGGATATCTGTCTCTCTCAAACAGCAATTTATCGAATAGGGCAGCCTCGTCTTTTCCACTCCTCACCGTCATGAGAAGCTGTAATTCTCTCTCAGTATCCTCAGCACGATCTCTCCCTCTCTTTCTCTCTTTCTCTCATTCTCTCTCTCTCTCCTCCACAAAGAACCAAGCTAAGGCAACTTGCATACAAAATAGCTGACTCAATCATCCAGCTGCATAATCAAGATAAGGGAGACGGGGACAGGAAAAGGGAGATGCGGAGGCTAATGCGAGAGACAGCTTTAGCAACAGCAGCAAAACTAAGATGTTTTGGAGCAGTCATAACTCGAGACATTAAAAGTTGGGAAGAAGTAAGATGGTGATTCACACTGTTGGTAAAGAGGGCTAAGCTGGGGCTGATCTTCTGTATGAAATGACTGGAACGAAGGCAGCCGCTGACAATTAATACAATGCCTGCAGTTCAGTGGTATGAAACAGATTGTTTGGGCTTTAAATGCGCTCCTGGCTTTAAATGTCACTAAGACAGAAACATTATTTAACCGGAACAGAGATGATACAGCACTCCTACACCTACGTCTATAGTGCAGCTGAGTGGAAAGCCAAAGAATTCTTCCTATGGGCTTGTCATTTCTTTGGCTGTCGTGTGACCGCAAGTGCAGGTTATATTAAACCTGGCATTGTTTCAGCATTTTTTTTAAAACCCCTCTATGCTTTGGACTCCAGATCCCTTCCAACACCAGCAACACCACCTCCTCCTCTGACAGAGAGTCTTCACTCAGAGCTGGCTAAACATCTTTGGAAATAAGGCCTATACTGACCCTAAAAAAAGAAATCAATACATATAAAGCTTTGAGCAATACAAATAAATTAATATGCCTAACATGCAGTTCATAGTATGCATTTCCCAGACAGATGGCACAGACGCAGCAAAATCCTCAGCTAATCTGAGTGAGACAGCACAGGACTGTAAGTACAAGACTGGGTAATGACAGCATAATAGGTTAAGGCCATGCAACACCCTGATCATTTATTATTGGTGTTTTAAACTGTTTGGAGCACACAGATTTAGATGACATATACCAGATTCATTAAACTGGCTCTCACTTGTGGTGTAGGCTGAGTAGGCCTAATGCTGAGGCAGGGAAGCTGTTTATTTATTTATTTATTTTGACTAATAATCAGACAAAGTACAAGATAATGTTCACTCAGATGTGGATCGGTGTCTTTGTGTGGATCTGAAATAAAGTTCAGCTCGTGCAGGTTGAGTAAAGCAGCCAGGGAGCTGTCCTTGGTGCTGAAGCCACATCTCAAGCGGGCGGTATTAGTGGAGGTTTACAGTTGCAAAGTACTACTTTCCCTGGAGCTGTATCAGGTGAAGGCTAATCTGTTGTGCCAGAAAACGCACCAGCATTCAAGTAAATGAATATTCAGAATCATATAACTAAAAAAAAAAAAAAAATTGAATAGAATATTTGCAGCATATGAATCGCAGTGGAAGCGTAAAAGTGCCCTCATGTCCCGTCCATAGTGCATGTCAGCTTGCAACGCTCGCAAAATCCACCGACCTCGGCGTGATGGTGCACAAGTTCAGCCGTGCATTTCGTAAGCTGTGTCTGCACTTAATAAAAGAAGTGTTTCTTTATCCCTGCACACAAAAGCCGAACAAATATTCTTTAAAGCATTGCATTTTAAAGATCCACCGCTCCCCCTGCGTGAATGCAACACACATAAAGTCCAGTGTTCTGTCTGTAAAGTCTGCGATATTAAAAACATCCACCAACACTGTAACAGCTTACCTGCTTGACGATCGCGCAGCAAGAGCCTCTTCTCATACAAAGCTGGCAGCTTACTGTATGTCACCACGAACACGAGACATGTTCAAAGACACTGGAGATGTTTCTGTTGGATAATATTTAAAAAAAAAATGAGTAAAAAACAAACAAAAAAAGAATCCCAGTTTTTCTGTTTTCGGTTTGCAGACGCACAAAGCAGCGACTGACTGCGTCAAGGGAGAGTCTCAAAGATCCATTTAGCGGTGAGTGATTTAATTCAGGGCTGAGCTCCTCTCACCGCTCGCCTTTATGTATGCTGAACAGACCCGGAGCCCTGCTTGGCTTTTTCTATTACACCGAGAGCTGACACCGGCGTTTAACCACAATCAGAGGAGGCGGGTATAGTCAGGAAGGTATTACTGTATCAGTTGGGGGAACTGCGGGGAACGAGTGCGAGAGGAGCGCATGTTGATCCTCCAGTCTAGCCGAGGCAAAGTTTAAATCTCATAATAAGATTGTTTGTCACCGCGAGGCTATAAATGGTGGCGGGTTCATCACGAATGCCGGGAGGGTTATGGCAACTCCTCCGGTTGAAGTGAAAATCGCATGATAGCCCGGTGTATTATAAACACTGAACAGGTTTCAAGTTAATGAAGACAGTTGGAGTGAAAAGTATCAGCTACGTCACACGAGCTCGAGGGCTTCAACAGCCAATCTATGAGCAAACTTTTGCTCCTTTCTGTTTTTTTTCCTCCCTCTGAGTACTGGGCTGCACCACCGCGCTGGAAATGGTTTTGAATTGCTCAATTTCACAGTCTGGTTGGGGGCATGTTTAATTTGGTATTGCATGAAAGAAGATAATTTTCCCCCACACACACATGTCCATTGGTCCTACCAGCAGGGGGCCTCTTAATAACCAAAAGAAGTGCTTTATATGTCCATTTATTACTGTTTGTTGACTGAGATTCCTAAAACATGTAATGAGACTGTGTCTTTCTATTTCCTGTAGCATCACGTGGACATTTTTGTAATATTCACATGCACATCCTTCCAAATTGAATAGGATTGCATGCTGTTTGTGTCATGACAGTGCAGGCACACTAATGTAAATGGAAACCATTAACTAGTCCCCTTAGACAAGTAAAAACTGCCACACTGTGATGGCAGTGGTCTGTAAATTTCAGGATTAAATGGAGGGGGTTAGTGAAAGGGAGGGGCCGGGGCAGCTATTGAAGTAGCCCATACTTCACTGAAGAGGTCAAGCCTTGGTCTCTGTGATAGTAAATCAATATATATCAGTGATAAATTATTAAATACAAAAAACCCCAGGAATACAAATTCCCACCCTTATGGACCTGAGCCTGGGCATTGTGATACAGGTTGGCACTTAAGAGAAATGAAAAGGTGAGATTGACATGCTTAAGTGCAGATATATTTTCTTGACTCTCCCTTTGAGTTCATAAACACAATCCAGATCATGTAAGGGGCAATACACAGATGTGATCACGACATGGTCAAAGCTGCCATGGAAGTTACTCAACCAGGGTCGGTGCAAAAGGAGCTGAAAAATGTGTAAAACAGAAGAAAAGATGACATTTGTCTTGTGTTATGGTTGTGACAAGAATCTGATCCATGCCTCAAGGGTTAAACCCACATTGTCTGTCCCTGTGTAAATGCAGTCCCAGATTTAATTTATGGAGAGTGCAGCCTGATGTCCTCTGTAATGACGTAGTCTGGGGGATGACCCGAGCAAGTCGGGGAAGTGGCAGCCAGGCTACAGATGCTCTTCTCTGAGAGGGAGCAAGTGGCTGTGCGAGGACTTGGCACAGACGCTGCAATGTCTTGTCTCATTGCAGCAGTCACGTTGGAGCTGTGAAATGTGGATGTGGACAGCCTGGCCCAGGAAGTCACACAGCGGTGCAGCTGCAGCGCTGAGAATGACAGACACGCTGTATCATGCTCCTTAATGTCCTCTCGACCCCAGGGCGAGCCTGATACATGACCCCACACAGACACTGTAGCCTTTGAGCCTGGTGTTGCTACTGCACAGCACCCTGAATGGAAAAAAGATAAAGGTTTAAAGATACCAGGACCCACAGCTGGCAGAAATAGCAAGAACAGGTCACAGCCAAAGGTCTCACTCTTCTTTCGAGCAGGCAAAGCTACATGAATTCCTACAAATGCCAATGTTTCTGCTTCAATTCAAAACATATTTCTTAGGGATATATCAGAGAGGGTTCATGAGTACAAGCTTCTGAAATCTGTTTTTTATTGCCTCTTTGTTTATTTTTTATTCAGATACAGCATGAGGACTCGGCACCTTTCAGAGAGCAGCAGTTGGGGTGGGCTTGATGGGCTTTCATAATGAACCTTCCCAGCTGAATTTACCTTGAGGGCACGACTGTTTTAACGTCATTCAGGTACGAGCCTTGCTTCCCATTGGATAGGACTGTCTCTGTTCATAATGTACCCATGATTTATAGTGTATAGTGAAGGATAAGTATATATAAGTGAATACATTTGTTATAATGCATCAGCTGTGTAATGCCATGGTGTCCTGTCACTTTGTGCCTGGATGTAATTGTTTTGTGGGTTTTAAGAAAGACTAGAAGTCTAGTCTCTGCTATAATACAAAGGAGTACTATATGTAACAGATGGGCTGTGCATATAATCCAAGGTGGCAGTAGGTTTGTTTATATTGCTGTGTTTAACCCCATTGTTGTTCTGTCACTTTGCATTTGGGTGGCTTAACCGCATTTTCAGTTTAACAGATGCTTACAGGGGTTTTAGCTTGAAGCTCCACATTATGTTTAACATGATTGTCCTTTCAAAACCAGCAATGAATTTAGCATCGATAATACTCTTTGCATGCTTTAGGCAAAATTTTAGGAGTTGCCCAGCACATGGTAAAATAAAATTAATCTGTTAATGTTTTTTAATGTTCCTTTTTTAATGAATGACGAAACAAAATCAGAATAATGCATTATATACACCCAACAATAAACATTTTATGTGTACTTAAGATTTCTGACAAATAATTTTAGATATATGTCTAATAGAAATTATTTTACTATCAAAGTTTCTAAACTATCCTACATTAAAATACTAAATTCAACTTAAGAAACAAATAGTAAGTGATATATTTTTGTATTCATTGAGTGCTACAACACACTGCTACTGGACTTTTGCTAAACCACAACTGCACATGAAATTTCAGCTTCTCGGGGCACATCAGGTTTTGTTTTCGTCAACACGGCTTTGAGAGGAAGTATAGCTAAGGAGCAAAGCAGAGGAACACCACCACTGGCATGTTGTAACTGAAATTTTCTGAGACTAACCTCTAATACAGTTATGAAAGGATAAAAATGACAGCAATGACACTTCCGATAGCAGTCGATTTGACTTGTTTTGCATCGGAGAGCATAACAATGCTTCATGTAAATCTTGAGCACCTGCTAGAAATGAAAAGATAATAATGTCACTAAATGAAGTCCAGGCAGAAGGAAAGGAGGCAGATAGGTGAAATGTACTGTATTATTCAAATCCTCCATTTACTGGCTAAGCCATTTTGGTGCTGAGGCTAGTAACAGGGCTGGCAATAATTCAGGGGAGGAGACGGTGACTGCTGGTTGATATAATGGAATATCTGCTGTCAGTGAAGTGCAGGAGATCCATCTTACTGGCTAAGCAGTGCGGCTGACGTCTACAGCTGCTTCACCAATGATAATGTTATGTGGGAGAAATAGGAGGCTGCATTCGAAGGTGCTTGTTGACGTTTAACAGCCCCACTTACATACCTTGTTATTGTCCACGGCAACACACAAACACGGCGAGCAGATGGAATGTTGCACCTCAGAAAAGGTATGAAGTGACTGCACATGACATGGTGTTATTGTCTCTCTGCTATTGTTCCAAACCTCTCTGTCATCACCCCTGCCTACATATTCATATAGTAACAAACAGCTGATCCTGGGAAATTGACAATTACTGACCCAGTGACAATACTGATAACTGTGTAGGCCTTCTACTTGTTTTTGTTATAATTTTTCTTTGAATAAATGATATTGGGGCATCGGTAGCGTAGTGGATAGTGCCGGCGCCCCAGGTACGGAGGCATCGCCTTGCTGCAGCGGCCGCAGGCTCGAGTCCGGCTTGCGGCACTTTGCTGCATGTCAGTCCCCACTCTCTCTCTGTCTCCCCGTTTCACTCTCTGTCCTGTCAATAAAGGCAAAAAGCCCATAAAAATAATCTTAAAAAAAAGAATAAATGATATTAATGATATGACTATACAGACATACATGTATGCAGACATGAACACAAATATTAGTAGTGGTGGAGGAAGTATTCAGATCCTTTTTTTAAGTTTAAGTAGCAATAACACACTGTTAAAATGCTGACATCCTGAATTCAAAATCTTACTTAAAGGTCCAGTGTGTAGGATTGATTGACATGTATTGTGTGACATGTATTAATTGGTATTTAATATTCATAACTATGTAATTGTTAATAGTTGTGTTGTTGTTACTGTAGAGTGAGTCCTTTATATCTACAATGAAGTTCATCATGTTGTATCTACAGTAGCCCAGAAGAGACAAACCAATCACTGGCTGCAGTCAGGGCCATTTGCATTTTGCGTTTATAGGTTTTAGCTTCAGCCACCATAGCTCTCCTCTGGGCACATGGGGGAAGTGTCACTTCTGCAACATCACCGTTGGATGCCACTAAATCCTGCACACTGGACCTTTAAGTAAAAGTATATAACTATTAACAGGAAAACGTGCTTTGAGTATCAAAAGTACTCAAGGCAAAGTAATGTTCCTTGTGAGTGTATATAGTGTGTCTAATGATGTGCATTGAGTATATACCATTATATAGAACATAATTAGATTATGATTACTAATATGGCCATCACTATTGCCCATAGCTCAAAGTGACATCTTCAAACATTGTTTCATTTGGCCTTCAGTCTAAACCTTAAAGTGATTCCTCGTGAAAAGTAGCAAACTGGAACATTTGAAAAGCTGAAACCATGAAATGTTTGACGTTAAACATTCTATCATAATTGCTGATTAGTTTTTTGCTAATTGAATATTCAACTAATTGATGACTTGACTAACAGGGTTCCCATGGTCATGGAAAACCTGTCCTAGAATTTCACAACCACATTTTCTATGCCTGGGAAAGTCATGGAATTGGTAAAATCATTGAAAAGTCGTGGAATTTTGTTGTGTATATTGAAATTGACATCATCTGTAATGTAGCGTAATGGCAAGGGTTTTTTTTTTTTCACAAATGTGTGACATTTTGTTTACCATCACATACAGTACAGGCCAAAAGTTTGGACACACCTTCTCATTCAATGCGTTTTCTTTATTTTCATGACTATTTACATTGTAGATTCTCACTGAAGGCATCAAAACTATGAATGAACACATGTGGAGTTATGTACTTAACAAAAAAAGGTGAAATAACTGAAAACATGTTTTATATTCTAGTTTCTTCAAAATAGCCACCCTTTGCTCTGATTACTGCTTTGCACACTCTTGGCATTCTCTCCATGAGCTTCAAGAGGTAGTCACCTGAAATGGTTTTCCAACAGTCTTGAAGGAGTTCCCAGAGGTGTT